ATGCTGGGGTGTGTGTGTGTGTGTGTGTGTACATGATCATTTGTGAAGGCCTCATTCAGTAGGGCCGCCTCCTACTTACATTTTCCCCCATGATTAAGTGATTTCTTCAAACATTCTAACAGTTGTATTGTAATCCACCTTATGGAAGTACCACCATTTATTTAACCATTATTGCCAGTCTTTATTTCTGTTTTGGGTTTCTTTTTTGGTGGGGAGGGGGAGTTTGAGACAGGATCTTGCCATATAGCCCGGGTTGGCCTCAGGTTCACAGTGATCCTCCTGCCTCAGCCTCCAGAAGGCTGGGGTCGCAGGTGTGAGCCACCACGACAACAGTCTGCAATGACCCCAGTCCCATGAGCTTTCCTGTATTTCCTTAAAGACAGCCCTGACAGAGGAGAAGCACTAAGTGAAAGCCTAGGAACCTGTGTGGCACCAGGTGGTTATTCTTACGGATGTTATCCAAGTTTGCCATTTGCTGAAGTAGAAACTTGTAGTCTCCATCGCTTTGCACATTGACCAACATAAGATCCAGGGCCACTGCCCACAGCAGAGGACAGCGATGTGCCCCGTCCCTCACAGCGTGTCTCCTCTGTTCTGTGGTCACTGGGCGAAGACCTCACTCTTCCTTTCTTTGTTCAAGTACCAGGCCGCGCTGTGCCCCCGCTTCTGCTCCAGGTTCTTGGGGACTCAGCAGGGAGCATAGCAGAGCTTCTGCCTCTGGGAAGTTTATTTAGGATGAGAAAGGCAAGAAGTAAATGGCAAACCAGCAGAGCAAAGGAGTGAGGTGTGGAACAGGGCTTGGAAACCCTCTGCACACCCTGGGGTAGGCACAAGGACAGTAAGTGCACCCTGGGGCCCAACTGGGCCGCTGTGTTTACAGCAACAGGAGGAGGCCTGTTACACGCCTCAGCACAGGAGTGAGGGTCACAGAGGGGGGCCAGAGAGAGCCGGGGGGTGGAGGGGCCATTGTGAGGTGTGGCCTTACTTGGGATATATTGCAGGGGTACACACAAGAGAGGACAGCAGCTCAAGCCCAGAGGTGAGGGGGCCGGGTCAGCCCAGAGCCCTGGGGTTTGGGGTGGTTTGTGGGTGGGTGGCAGAAGCTGCCCAGGCCCGGGCACCCGGAAGAGCGGTCACTGTGTGCTGAGATGGGGAGCACAGGGGCCACGTTTGGTGGGCAGGAAGGATTGTCCTGCACAGAACCCAGATGCTGGGAGCCACTTAGGAAGCCGCCCTGGCCGCCCTTAGCTCTGAGGCTGCCCTGACCTTCTGGAATGCTTTGTGGCGCTGTAACAGCGGGCCTCCTGGGTCACGCTGCAGGGACTCGTTCTGGCCGCCGCCCGCCGACATCCGATCCTGGCCCTGCCCCTCTGATCAGATCGAGGTTCCCTCTTGTGCACTGAAAACTTCCTTGCTATCCTTTTCTCAAGATTTCACATCAACTTTCACCTATTTTTCAATATCAGTGCTGATATTACTGTGTCTAACGAACTCCCCAAATACCTACTGGGATCTTTATTACAATTTTAATTTTATTACAACTTGAGAAAGGTTCTGGCTTTGTATTTGGTCTTTCTATCCTGGAGTATCGCCTCTCTCCAGTTATCCCAGTCTTGTCTTAGCAACGTCGTGTGGGCTCCAGAGGGCCTTCTTGCCATGGGCTTTGTATTTTTTGTGTGATTTTCATCCCAAAGTACTCAGTGCGTTCATCAATAATGTGATTGTTTATTTCCACATGATTCAACTTCTAACTTTATTTTTACAATATACATTTATTAATTCACTATTCTTTTAAAAATGAAACCACTTTATCAAACCAAAAATCTGTATACCGCACAATTGACAAACTTAAAATGAAAGATTCCATTGAGCCTCGCCCATGGACAGAAGTGTACAACCACAACCACAACTACGCCCAGATCACTTTTGCAGTCCCAGATCAAAGCACACTTCCTACCTTTCCTACAGATCGTCGCCTCCCAGCTTCTCCCCCTACTGAGCTCTTCTCTGTCTTCATAGATTTTCCTATTCCGGGAATTTACTTTTTTCTTTCAAAATAGCCCTTCTCGTGACAACAGTAAAGACCTTCCCATACCCAGGAGGTGGAAAGCCTGCATCACGAGCTCTCACACACTATTAGAGCAAAACTAGGGACCTACAACAGAAGCATACTAGAAATATAAGTACTTGTTTTTGTCTTTTTCTCTCTCTCCTCTTTCCTATTAAATTGTTCGTATAAGGGAAACCGCACAGTGTCCCATTTGCGTGTCTGGTTTGCGTCACCGAGCTCTGTGGTCTCCGTTATGCATCCATTGTTCTACAAATGCCTCATTTATCTTCACTGATGACAGAGTAGTACTCCACTGTACGTAAATACCACATTGTCTTTATCCGTGTATCTATTGACAGACGTACAGGCTGATTCCGAGATTAAACTATTGCGGGTTGTAATGCAATACACGAGTACACATACATTGCTGTAGAATGTTTCTAACTCTTATAAGATACTCAGAAGGGGAGTGGCTGGGTCAAATGGAATTTCTTTTTTTCTTTTCTTTTCTTTTTGGCAGAACCGGGGATTGAACTCAGGCCCTTGTGCTTGCCAGGCAAGCGCTTATTCTACTGAGCCATCTCCCTGGTCCCCCAGAATTTCTATTTTTAGTTTTGTGAGGCCCTCCTGCTGACTTCCACAGCGCTATCAGTTTACATTCCCACCAACAATATAACTTCTAACTTATGCTTTCAGCTTGCCTCAAATCCCTTGGAATAGACCCTAGTTGGTCCTAGTGCTCCATTTTTAAATATGGTTCTGGATATTTTTAATATTTTATTTTATATTTTTCCCACTAATAGCCATAAACTATGGATAGCTTTATGTTTTCTTTATCGTAGTTTGATGTTATGATAATCACACAGTGGTTGCGTCCTCCATATCTCTTTCTAAGTGCTGGGATAATTTGACTTACTGTAAAAATCATCTATTCCCTGCAGGCTTGGTGCCGCCTACCTTTAAAAATCATCTAGGCTTGACACCTTTTAGTGGCAGGTGGCAGATCTTTTAATAGCTTCCCCACTTCTTCTGTGGTTACCTGTCTATTCAGGCTTTTCTACTATTTCAGTTAAATTTGGAACTCTATATTTTCCTAAAAATATGTCCCGTTTCCCCCAGAGCTTAAAGCACACTAACCTAAGGCTCTGGATAGTACTCTGTTAGAGTTCTCCGCGATCTGTTGCTAGAATCATAGTGCCTGACAGCACACTTCCAGAAGTGTGACTACACGCGCCACACTGGGTCAGCCCTTCCTGGACAAGGCAGTAAACTGAGGCAAGTCCTGGATCAGCAGTGTTTGGCAGGGCCACCTAGCCAGGCAGGGCGGAGTCTAGACTCGGGCCCAGGGCTCCGTCTCCTCATGCTGCCCACCCACCTATGTTGTTCCTAGCGGTGCTCACCCGGGGCCAGGCTCACTAACCCTCTGCTCTCTGGGTACCGCTTAGCCTTGGGAAGTGTCTTTTCAATTTAAAATTCTAAAAACCTATAAATGCATCAGTAATACCACTTTTATTTTCTAAAATGAGAGAAGAAAAGCATTTGTTTGCTTTCCAAATGGCTCCATGTGGGTATGTTTAAAAGCTGCTGCTCACCTGTAGGTGGTTGAGGGCTTCGGTTTGAGTGGAAGTGAGTGTGTTCCAGGTTCTGAGGATATTCCCAGCAGCCTCCTGTGTTTGATGCCATCTCGTCAAGTACAAAACATTTTGTATATTATGCAGATTCCTCTGTTCTACAAGATAGTAGCCTGTAATACAGCCCTCCTGTGGACTGGCTTGAGACAACACAGCCAAGTTTGAATACTAGGTGAGGACTTTCCATATAGTAATCTGCTAAAGTTCCCAGGACAGCGTTGGCCCAGGAAGCATTGTTGTCAAAGCTAACAGACACAAATCAGGGAAACTGATTGTAGCTCAGCATATGCCCAGGTGCAGGGACAGCTTTCATGCGTTGTCATCCCTGGACTGTCACAGGCCAGGCCTCCCCCTCCATCCCTACACCCCACACCTTCTTTGAAGGTTAGGAGTCCACCTGTTGCTGGAGCCAATGCAGGCCTGGCTCTGTGGCCTTTGCCTGTGTGCACATGTCGGGTTGCCTCTCTGGCCCCACACAGGAGGTCCCGGCTGCCCAGTCCAGCTCCATCCCTGGGGTTCCAGTCTCCCAAGTGCAGTCTCCCCAGCACTCCTTCGTGATTAGCCCTGGCCATTGTCACCGTCCCTCCGCGGATGCTCACTGAGAGACTCTCCCTTGCTTGCTATCCCTGCCCTGTCTGCCCAGCATAGTGATCGGCACTGACAGTGAGGTAGGGTGCAGTTCCCTGGCTCACTGGACCACACAAAGGAGCCTTCTGACACTTTTCTTTCCTGGAGACCATTTCTTCCTCCCTTCAGGAGGTCCCCAGCTCTGGACAACTTGCTTGTCCTGGCTCCGGCTTCCCAGCACCATGGACAGCGCCTCCAAAGCCGGCCTCTCACCAGGATCTCCCAGAGCCCTTGCCCAGGGCCCTAGGCAGAATAAATCCCCTTGGGTCTCTGTATTGGGCCTCAGGGGCACTTAGTCAACAGGGCTGCTGCGTAGTGTCCTGCCAGCCATCAAAACCATCTTTCAGTACCAGTCACTATGAGCAAATCGATGAAACTCACATCCTGAAATGAAAGCACAACCTGCAGACCCGCTGGCTGTACACAGCGGGCACACACTGTGTTTGCCACATGCACCAAAGGATGGCATAGGCCAAAGGCTCAGCATCACACAGACCCTCCTGGGCCACCCAGACTTCTGCACAGCCAAGTCTGGCCTGCGAGCGGCGCTTTCCCCGGCCCGCATCTGCGCTGCTCTTGATCCGGCTTCTCTGGCCCTCTGCCTCCCTGGGGAGTGCCCCAGCTGCGGGCCCTGCAGCCAAGAGGTGTGCACCCCTGACTCACTGCACCACTTTCCATTCTCTTTCGTGCAGACCGCTGATGAGTGGGCTGAGAAAATGCCCAGAATCCCTCCCTCCACGTCTCCCAGAGAAGTGGCCAGCAGGGAGCTGCTGGCGTGTCTCCACAAAGCCGTGGGCTCCCACCACCATGCCTTTGCCCAGGAGTTCGAGAACTTTGACACCAACAAAACCAACACGGTCTCCAGAGACGAGTTCAGGGCCATCTGCACCCGCCACCTGCAGATCCTGACTGACGAGCAGGTAAAGCGTGGACTTCTTGGCTTCTGTTCCAGCCAATGTCAGGGCACCCCTGGCCTGTGTTCCCCAGCACACAGGACGTGCCCTCTACTTTAAACCATACTCAAGCTTCTATTTGCCTTATTTTCTTCTCTTTTTGTTTTATGATAGACCCTCACTTTGTAGCCCAGGCTGGCCTCTAACTCACTACCCTCCTGCCTCAGCCTCCCAGAAGCTAGAACTAGGAGCATGCAGTGCTCTGCCCAGCTTTGTTTTGTTGTTCACTGTCACTCTTAGGTGACAGGTGTGAATCGCACCATTTCATTCAAAGTGCAAAAAATGTCCCTTTGGCTTTGCAAATCAAACTAAATTTAGCCCCAGCTCCCCTTCTCCTTTCCTTCCCCATCATCTGTTGCCCGTGTGAGCCAAAGAGGGCGGCCAGGGCCCTGCACACCCCAGAAGATGACGTGGGCTTTCGTGTTCCTGGGGCTTTCTCTGCCCCCCACTCTCGCTGCTCCTAAGGCTGCTCTGAGCACACTGGGGACCTGCCTGCCCCAGGGATCCGCTGGGATGCTGGACACAAGCTGTTGCCTCCTGGCGTCCTCTGCCCATCGCAGACCCTCAGAGCAGCTTCCCCACTATCTCCTTCCTCCAAGACTGAGTGGGGCCACTGCAGCTCAGAGGCTCTGGCCACATGCTGCCCCATCCTTCTCAGCTGCACAGGGCCTCCCAAGGCACGAGGTGTCCTGAGGGTTTGCCCTGAGGCCCCCATAGTGAGAGAAGAGCTCCTTGGGAGGGGCCTGTCCTTACCGGCTTCCAGTGATGGCCACATGGTTGCTTAGCCCCACACCCAGCATCACGTGTGTAACCGTGCCTGGTGCAGAGAAGGTGCTCAGCAGGTACTCACTATGGGCAGGGTCCCACTGTCGCTGTGGGATGTCCAGACCTCCCCACACATGTGCCCATGCCAACATGTACGTGCGCGCGCACACACACACACACACACACACACACAGCTCAATGTCGAGTAGCCAGCAGAGAGCCCTGGTCCCTTCGCCCAAGAAAATGCTCTGCTGCCAGCTGCTCCTACCCTCCAGCAGATCCACACCCTTTCCCAGAGAATAGGTCAGGCAAAAGGAGATAAAACACAAAGCAGTACCCCTTCCTTCCTCTGGATTCTGCTCAGGCCCAGCACAGGGTTCTGCCTGCAGATCCAGGTAGAAACATGTCCTTTTGACTCCAGAGTTTTGAACCTCACTTCTGGGAAGAAGGCACTTATTAAAGCCTCTGTGTCCCTGCTACTTCTCTCAAGGACACAACACCCAGCCCCCAATGCTTTCAGGAAGAAGGTTATTTTGGTTCACGTTTTCAGTCCATCATTTTCTGAAGCCAAGGCAAGGAGGAGTAGGGGAAGGGACTGGTGGGGCAGAGCTGCTTATCCCATGGCCACCGGGAAGCAGAGAGGGAAGAGAGGACCAGGGAGGGAGATGCGGCCTGCAGGCCATGCCCCCATGACCCACTACACTCTGGCAATGGGAGCGTTGGGCTTGACTTGTGGGGGCTGTGGCTACAAGCAGGCAGGGCAGGGGCCTGGCCCAGGGGAAGGTGGGCGCTCTCCTGAGGACAGGAAGTCAGGTCCATGGAGGCAGGGGAGAATGGCATGGCAGAGGGGACACCCCCACAGAAGCAGAGTGTGCCGCCAGTGTGCACGAGAAACCAGCACCTGCCCTCCTGGGATCTGCCTTCTTTTGGGGGTTCACAGACAATGAAGAAACCAGAATATGTGGTTTCTTAGAAGTGAGGCTCTTGAGGCAAAACCAACACCAACAGGCAGGTGAGGTGGAAAAGATAAAGAGCGAGGAGCCTGCAGTTCTGGACAGGTGGCCACATGTTCTCAGAGCAGTAGACTAGGGAGTGAACACTGATAATCCGGTGGGGGTGGCTGGGAGCCGGCTGAGACCCCTTGGCAAGGTGACAAGGGTGTCAAGGGGATCCAACAGGGTCAGAGCACAAGGTTGAAAGCCAGTACTGCAGAGGGCAAGGGGTGGGGAAGGAGGCCTGAGCCTAGAGCCCGTGTAGGATGGGAGCCCGGAAAGAAGACTTTTGGGGCCAGCAAGATAGCTCAGCGGGCTAAAGCACCTGCTTAGGCAAGCTTAGGCAAGTGCAGGGACCGCAGTTCAATCCCCAGCACCACATGGCACACCAGGCCCACCCCAAGGGCAGGCTGAGCCAGCCACAGAGTCTGGGTGTAGTGGCGCATGCCTGTTACCCCAGCACTGAGGAGGCTGAAAACAGGAGGGCCACCATGAGTCCAAGCTGTGTAGTGAGACCCTATAACAACCAAATACATTTAAAAAAGAGAAAGGTCTATCGTTTTAAAAGACTACGTTGGGTTTCACTCAAGGACCGGTGCATGCCCTGATGAAAACAGCGCTTTAACGTACTGCATGTTCTGGTGAAGAAATTCTCACCCCTGCCTCTTCCAGGTCATGAGGATATTAACGTGCGAGCCCTCCTGAAGGTTTTGATGTTTTCACTAAGAGATATGTTGAAATTTCCAGCTGGAATGCTAGATGTATCAATTTCTTGCAGGGTCTTTCAAATTAAATATATATGAATTTAGAACTATTATTTGATGTCTGCCTGCATATCTCTTTCTAATTTTTTTTAAATCTTTGACCCTTCTGAGACCTATGTTTTTTGTAAATGTGTATTAACAGCCTATCAGTAGATCATTTTAAAAACTTCAAGTAAATAATCTCTGCTTTTTTATTTATATGGATGTTTATCTCATCCATTTATATTTATTGTGATTCCTGATGTATTTGTATTATCTGATATTGTGCTTTCTACTTAACACTCATGTTTTATGTTGTTTACAGTCTTTCTTCTTTTGGATGGAGCTTATAGAATATGTTATTCTAATCTTCTAAGTTCTATAAGTTATGTATCTTATTTTGTTCTTTTAACTTGTAAGTGGCCATTACCCTTGAATTTTTACTAAGCTTTATAAAACAAAACCCAAAGCCTAAAGCATCTCCTTTGCCCTCTGGCACCCAAGGAGATGAAGCTATTGTGATTCTAATTTTCTTGGGGTTTGCATTACTATTTTGTAATATTTTAGATGCATCTTAACACTTTTCTGTACAAATTAAACATTAGGCTGGTTTGCTTTATAAAGTTGGTGTTTATTTAATGTTACTTCCTTTACTACTTACATCATAACCCTATCTTCTGGGATCATTTTCTTCAAGAAGTAAGCTTTTCTTCATGATCTGTTGATGGTAGATCTTTAAATACATATAGTTATATATCTCTCATGAGAGAGAGGAAGGAGAAAAGGGGGACGGAGGGAAGAGGAAGGTAGAAGAGGAGAGGAGAGGAGAGGAGGGGAGGGGAGGGGAGGGGAGGGGAGGAGAGAACAGGACAGACATATGTAGTTCAAGCTGTCCGTGCTGGCCTCAACTTCACAGAAATCCTCCTGCCTCAGACTCCTGGGTGCTGAGGTGTCTCATTTACTCTTCTGTCACTGCTGGGACAAATACCCGACACCCAATATGAAGAAGGAACGGTTTACTTAGCTCACAGTTAGTGGAGGTTTCAGTCCATACTTGGCTGACTCCGAGACAGAGCGGCACATGGCAGAGGGCATGCGTTCATGGCAGCAGCGAAGAGCAAGAGCCGAAGGGGAGAAGCCCCAGCCCCAGCAGCCAGCCAGCCCTTCTGCCCTCCTCACTCTGTAATGCAAATTGCCCACCCAGGGCCAGGGCGCAGCACTCACCCCTGCAATCCCAGCACTGAATCAAGAATCAACCACAAACTCCTGAAGCCGCCCCAGGACTGCAGAGGGCCTGGGGGTGTGGATAACAAAACACAACCCATGACATGTTACAGTCATGCGTCACCATACTCAGCTGTTTTGCCATATTTTAAAGGAAATATTCCTGCTAGTAATTTCCTTTTAACAGTTTAAACAACAGTATTCCACCGTAGCTTGTGTGATATTGTGTAAGACACATCCATGAAATCAGGACTCTGGGAAGGGGCCAGCAGGCTCTCAGGTGATTCCAGTGTGCCGGAGCTTGAGAACCACTTTATATTACATACATCTGTGTTATCTAATAATTCTGATATCTGAAGTCAAGATCTATCTTAGCTTGTTTCAGCCAACTCACGTTCCCATTGATTGGCTCCTGTGTGTGGTCGGTGGTTTCCATTTCATTACGGGCCAATGCTTGGTTGAATTTAACCCAAGGGAATCCTGAGGGACGTTGTCTACTCTCCCATCATGACTGTGCATTGTGACAGGGTTGCTAGGTGAGCTCAGGGCAGGGACAGTCATCATGTGGGCTCTCAGCTGCATTAGAGAGGAGTGAGGACCCAGGACGGAGAGAGGAGTAGGGGAGACAGCAGGGCACAGATGGTCTGAGGCAGTGACAAGGGGCCCAGCAGGGGTGGCCAGAGAGCGGAATAGCCACGGGAGGGATGCATTGGTGATGTCCGGGTGTAGCCCTGTGGGAGGCCTTGATGAGGCCAGGAACCGAGAAGCCGAGGATCCAAAAGGATCCACCACCCATCCCCAGCAACTCAGCCTTTGCTGGAAACACCGAGAGGCAGGGAGACAGGGAGAAGCCGGAGAGACCCAGATCAGGGCAGAGGTGGGAAGGTTGGCCCTGGGGAAGAGGAGGAAAAGGAGGAAAAGGGAGGGGAAGGAGAAGGAGGAGGGGAAGAAAAGGAAAGAAGAAAAGAAAGAGAAGGAGAAAAACAGAAAAAGAAAAAAAAAAGAGGAGGAGGGGAGGCAGAACTACGAGGAAGAGAAGAGCAGCTTCAGCCAGAGCCCAGGCTGTCATTAGAGAAGAGGATCAGACTCCACTGGTGCTGCAGAGTCTCCTGTGGCCTGTGGTGGGGGTGGAGACTCCTGGTCACGCAGCTCTGAGAGTCGGCTCCAGCAGCACACAGTGACCTCAGGGGACAGACACTTGACTCTCCAGCTCTCAGAGTCCTGGTGGTCTCTGCTGCCAGGGTCCGAGAGGAGGGCACTGCTCGGCAGAGCACTGAGGGGCCGTTTTGGTATCGAGGCCATGACTCCAGGCATGGCATCGTTACCTAACCCGGGATTCTGAATCCTCTCTAACAGCTCCAAGCAAGTGCGCTTGTCATGCCAGCTGCCACCTGTACGTCCCAGCCAGGGTCATCTATCCGGGGACCTACAGGTGGCAATGGGCAACTTGGGGCCGGTGTGGGAGCCAGAAGGGACTCAGGGCCTTCACATCCACATGGCCCAAGGTGCCCCTTATAGTTTGCTCTTGGGAAAGCTCAGGGAGTCCCACAAGCAAACTCAAGGAGTAGCCTTGGCCTGGGGGCCAGGGGAGGGGGCCCCGTCTCCCCTCTTCCCTGTTGATTCTCCTTCAGCCTATGCCGAAGCTGGGGCTCCACAGGCCTCTAGGGCTGTGCACAAAATCAAACTGAAAGCCAGTTCCCATGCTTCCTGGCGCCCCGAAAGCCCTTGACACTCTAAGTGGCTCCTCGAGGACGCGCGGCACTCTCCGGGTGCCCTGTCAGTCCCCATACGGTCTGCAGTGCTGAGAGCAACAACACACGGAGCCGTACACTTCTTTCCGGATTTCTAAACACTCCCTTTTCATCTCATGAGAAAACGTTCTTGGCCTCGAGGGTGAAATACTTTGTGGATGGACATTCAGGGGCTGGGGCAGCGGCATCTGGCAGGCCTTTGCCGCAGTCAGGGTAGGACAAGGCAGAGAAATGAGTGGGACCACTCAGGGATTGGGGCAGCCCGGACTTTGATTTGCATTTTCCCTAAAATGTTTTCATACACTGCGGCTCACTCACTGTGACTAACCACAAGATTTAATGGCCTTAAATGGCTCACTATGGGCCCAATTCAATTAAAAAATGTCCTGCGGAAGCCATGAATAATCCTCTAGTCGTGGCTCTTCCAGGCTTCCAGAGGCTCTCACCAAGCAGAGGCCAAGTGATTTTCGTCCCCTTTTCTCCTGTTTTTCATTTCCACGGCTTGGCCCCTGCCAGTGTGGCCAGCACTGACCCCATGGCGCAGCTGGGACTCTAGGCTCTGCCGGGTCCACACTGACCCTGGGGGTCACTCTCCGCCTTCTCCAGTTTGACAGGCTCTGGAGTGAGATGCCCGTCAGCACCAAGGGGAGGCTGAAATACCAGGAGTTCCTGAGCAGGTTCAGCGTGGAGCAGGCAGCCACGCCGCCGGCCACAGGAGACTCGACCCAGGCCCAGAAGGGAAGCAGCATCCCCGAGGTCTCAGAAGAAACCAGGCCTGCTGGCTCCTCGCCCATGCGGGATCCGAGGGCAGGGCTGAAGTCACGGAGTCACCCCTGCGTGAGTGTGCACCCTGAGAAGTGCCCCATAAGATCTCACAGCAGGTCCACCAACCCGCGCCTGGGCACAGAAAATCACTAGGGCCTCAGTGGCTGCTTCCCCAGAAGGAGGGGTGTAAGAATGAGAGGGCGAAGAGCAGAGGGGTCCCCTAATGGGAAAAGAGCTGCCCGGGTGGGCACAGGCTTTCTCCCTCTACACACAGGCAATGAGTCCAGGGAAGGCCGAGGGGAAGAAGGTATCCTGAGCAGAGTGCTGTCATGTGGGCCCGGGGTGCAACAGCCTTCAGAGACTGGACACGTCACACCTGCATGCATGCAGCGCATAATGACTGCCACGTGACGAGGCCCCTGCAGGGTCCACAGCAAGGGATCTGAGGGGTGGCTCAGCTATCACAGGACAGGGTGGATGGGCCATCAGTCAGTCCAAAAGCAGAAAGTAGAGCAGAACGAGGGGGTCGGGAGCACCCCGCAGTGTCCACGCCCTGGTCCCTGGAATCCGAGGCAGAGGGGCATCAGCAGTGGCTGTGGCTGACGCTGGATCGAGAGCTGATGGGGAGGATCCAGCCAGCTCAGGGTGACCATGACTGTCTTCACTTGGGCGGGGAGTCATAGCCAAAGAGACAGGGCTCGTGCAAGACCTGCCTGATCCTGCTTGCTTTGGTGACCAAGGTGCCGCCAGCTAAGCAGCGGGAGAAGCTAGAAAGGAGCCAGATGCCTCGACTTCAGCTCTGAGGGCCACTTTACTTCTGGGCTCCAGCACTCCCAGGAAACACGTGAAGGTGCTCACACGGGCCAGAGGGACCCGGCCTGGGTTCCAGGGGAACAGAGCCCGCGCCGATTTCTGGGCAGCAGAGGAATTCTGGAGATGACACTGGACAGTGAGGAGGAGTAGATAGAAGGGTGGCCACACGCGAGCCAGAAGCAACGGGCCAGGCATCACAGTGGTGGCAGGCAGCTGGGGAGGGGCCCACTTGGATGTGGCTGCAGGACAGGCCAAGAGGGCTCCCGATGGAGAGGCAGGGGCTGCACGGGCAGCTGAAGGAAGGGCGTGGCTGTCCCCAGGCCCAGGCGGGGGTCTCAGGGGAAGCCCTGAGGTCCTCTGAGCAGGCTTGCTACTGTATTGAATGCCCTGTGATGAGCAGGCCCAGGAGCAGGTCTGGACTGGACAGAACAGCTCCTTTGAAATAGAAACGACAACAAAGAACAGCCTCATCCCAGGTCCACATAATTTCAAAATAATGGATTTTGTTTCTACAGGATTGGGCGCCTCATGCAGATGAGAAAATCCCTTTCTTTGATAAGTCCTTTCCTCAAGTGAAAAATATGTCACTTCACACACAGCACACACACACACGCATGCACACACAATGCACACACACAGCCCCAACCGTGGCTACATATTTATTCCGAAAATGTTTTGGGTGCGAGGACTTGCTTCCCACTGACACAAACCTTAGCTAAATAGTGAGGGCACATCTCTGTTCTGGTTTCCCTCCCTCCTCTGAGCTAACACGGGCCGCAGCTCCACACACCCCAAGCCCCGCGTCCAGGTGGAGCCTCAAGTGAAGGTCCTCTCTGCCCTCCTGCAGACCCCAGCGGGCACCCCGCTGCTGCAGAACTGTGAGCCCATCGAGAGCCGGCTGCGGAAGCAGATCCAGGGCTGCTGGCGGGAGCTGCTGAAGGACTGCAAAGACAAGGACACGGGGAGACTGGGGACTGTCCCTGCAGCCGAGTTCCTGGGTATGTGTGGCTCCATGCCTGTCCCCACTGCTGGCAGAAAGCCATTCTCACCAGGCACCCCCACGCTCACGCTCAGGATAGAGGCCATGGAGTAGCAGAGGAGCAGGCCTGCTACAACGCCCTGCGGTAGAGGTCGCAGGCTGTGACACCTGCGAGGCTTGGTCTACACTCCACCAGCTCTGAGTGCTGGACACCAGGCTTGCCTGTGGTCACTGGGAAAATGTGAATGCCCCAGAATGTGACAGCAGAGGGGAGGGGTAAGGCAGAAGGGGGCAGATGACAGGTGGGAACGCTCCAGCCCTCGTGACACAGCTGAGACAGGTAGAGGAGGGCAGGGGGGCACTCCCGGGCTCCACCCACACCGGCACCATCTGTGATCCCTTTGCTGAGCTTTGAAAATGAGCCCCGCTGGACTTCTGCACCCACCAACCGCTGTTGTGGCTCAGGGAGCACTTCGTACCACAGCACCGGGCTGGCCACGTCCCTCTGTGGACCTCCTGCTCACCTTCCTCTCCTGGCTTTTCCCTGGGGCTCTCCCACACTGGCAGAGGCAACTTCATCCTAACTCACGTGGCCAAAAAGGCACAGGCGGGACAGGCTGTAGACTCCTTCACGGCTCCTAGGGAAATGCTTACAAATTAACAGGAGTCGGTAATATCCAAACGGCCGCACACCAGCCACATTTTGGGCACAGCCAGACGTGCAGCGTTGATTTCCAGGCACGTTTGTGGTCCACTTGTTTGACCTTATCTGGTGCCACTGCTCTGACTCCTCCTGCTCTTTGTGTTCTAACCCTGATGTGTAAATCAGCCCTCCACTGAGCTGCTTGTCCAGCCTCATGGGGCATCCAAGATGCAGACTAGAAAGAGGCACAAACTTCCAGGTCCTCATGTGTTTTCCAGGGGTGAGGGCATCTTTGGGCTCCATGGGTCCCCGCTGGCCCGCTGGCCCGAGATCTCCCTCCAGGCTGTGCCCAGAGAAACGCATGTCCCACAGTGCTCAGCGGTGTCCTTCACCCCACGCCCACTTCTCTCTCAGCCTCTGCCACCAGTACAGCCCTGCAGCCTGGCCTTGACACTGTCCTCTCCAGAACCAGCCGGGCCTTTCTGATTAGGAAGGTGACTGTACACAATGACTGGCACCAAGGGGCAGGGCAGGGCTGAGCGCTGACCTCTGGCATGAAGACGTGCCAGGCCCATGTGGCATCCAGTGACTCTCATGAGAAAGCCAGGCTCAGCCCTGACACCGAAGTCCTCAGACACTCGGATCCACCTGCTCCGGGGCAGCTTTCCCAGACTGCAGGTGTCACTAGCAGGAAAGCTGATCCCCGTACCGGGGCTGCAGCCTGACGACTCCGTCCCCTCTGTCCAGTCCCCGATACCCAGCTCCAGTCCTTGGGGAGCACAGCCTCCCCCCTCATCCTGGCTCCCACAGTGCTTGGTCTTCACACAGTGACCACAGCTCAGGTGACCAGGACAGCAGGTTCCGGGAGCGTGGGCCAGTGGGACCCAGGAACCCCTCTCGACGACAGTCCCTTGGGTGTCTTTTCCTGTTCCTGTGCGTCCGGCTGGCCTGGCCTTGGCCAACACGCCACCCGCTCACCCACCTGCCCACCCGCAGCTCTCGTGGAGAAGTTCCACCTGGAGGTAAGCAAGGAGGAAGGCCAGCAGCTCCTCACGAAGTACGACCTGAAGGACAACGGCACCTTCGCCTACTGCGACTTCATCCAGAGCTGTGTGCTCCTGCTCAAGGCCAAGGAGACCTCGCTGATGCAGCGCATGAGGATCCAGAATGCGCACAAGATGGTAGGTGGTGGCCTGGGAGCTGTGGTGGGCAGCACCACTGTGGGTGATGCCAGGGTGGGTGGTACCCCCTTTACTTCCCACCCCTGCAGCCTGTCCTCCAATGGCTTGTGATCTCTGCCTAGCAAAGCCTTGTCCCCTTAATCCTTGCCACCCACAGGCATGGGAAGGAGCCCACAGGGTCTGAATGTCCAGGCTGGCACCTAAAGCCAGGGCCAGGGTAGTGAACGGGTCTCCACCAGGCTCTGGGAACACTGAAGACACCTCAGAAACGTTTTCCTTGGGCATAAGTTAGAGCTTTCCCTTCTCTCCCTTGAAACCCTGTGGGTCTGGAGACACCTAGCAGCAGGATCCTCCGAAGGACAGGCACAGTGTCAGCCACTCACATGAAGCCTTTGAGTAGACACAGAAGGAAAATGGGGTGTGTGGGTGGGCGAGGGCATGGCCACCCTATATGTGTTGAACCGAGAGGCAAATCCTCTGTTCGCCAGTCGCTGGGCAGGAGTCCTGCTCGGAGCATGGAGTGGAGCCAGAGGGAGCTCCCTTTCCTGTTTCCTCAAGACTTGGGATGGCAGCAGGAGGGCGCGACTTCTGGAACTGACCTTTGGTTCCCAGTCCCGTCTAATCGCGGCATCGAGGTCCACGCCCTGCTGCTCCAGTCTCGCCAAAACACGGATTCAAGGCAGGCCTGAGCTACACAGGGAGTTCGAGGTCAGCCTGAACTCATGGAGAGGCCAGGCCTCACTCAAAAAGCAAAACAAGCCAGGTGTAGTGGCTCCCATCTGTAATCCCAGCACTCAGGAGGCTGAGGCAGGAGGATTGCTGTGAGTTCAAGGCCAACTTGGGCTACACAGGGAGTTCAAGTTCAGCCTGAATGCATAGTGAGACCCTGTCTTACAAAAACAAGGGAAAGAAAAAGCAAAACATGAAGTCAGAAAATAGGTTTCTTGCTCTTCTGGTCTGAAATGTTGATCAGAGTCACAGCAGACAGCGAGTGCAGCTGGCACCGCGGATTCAGGAATGCACAGGGCTGATTCCGACTGCCGGGCCAGAGGTGTGGGGCAGGGGAGAGTGTGGCTCATCCGTAAGCAGGGGGCAAGTGCTTTCTGCACAGCTGGGTCTGGCATGCCATGCAAAATCAGGCAGCGCCCTCACACAGCTTCCTCCCGGCACAGCCAGGCAAGAGCCAGTGGAAAGTCTCGGGAAAGGACAAGTTCACGAAGGAAACAGGAAGTCAGGGCGGCTCTCGGGTTGGCCTGCGTCTTCTGTGAAGAGGAAAGACTCTGCCCTGGATAGAGCCCCACAAATGTAGCGCGTGGCGTCCCCCTTCCTGGTCCTCCTCCTCTCCTGGCCTCTCAGAAAACAGCCCACGAGGCTCTGGCGTGGCCCCTGTCCCCTCTGGCAGCTGCTGAAGAAGCTAGAAGGCAGGCTTTGGTGTCTGGCTGCTTGGGAGTCTGCTCTGTGCCCTTCAGCAGCAGGAAGACGTCCTGGGGGAACCTCATGGGCACCGCTGTTTCCTGCAGGGTTGGGGTCGGGTCCGGGCTGGCAGCCCCAGATAGCGGGGAGACCCGGTGTGGAGTGAGCCGAGCGCCCAGTCTGCAGCCTGTGGACCCCCGCTTGGGCAGATTGGCAGCTCGCAAAGCCCTCAGGTGTCTGCGGTGTTTCCATCCTAGGTGCCGAATGAGGTCAAAGGAAAGCAATTTCACGCGGCCGCGTTTGTTGCTTGTGCGGAGCGCCGTGTTAAAATTAAACTTCCCCGAAAACATGTTGCATGGTATTGCCTGCAGCTCACCTCCACAGTATTCAGGCATGTGCCGGGTCTGAATCATGCTAAAATATCCTGTTTTTGATCTAGTAGCACCTAAATGAAATAATCACAGTGTAGCACTGTCTAATTACTAGATATAATTACAACCTTGGCAATTTTTTTTAACACTCCTCATTATAATAACCCTCCAGAAGACCCAGACTGGAATTTCTTTCTCCTTTTTCTCTTTTTCTTTCCTCCACCTACTCTGAAGCTGGTCTGATGTCTGCCCAGCCCTCTCCTTCCATCCCTGGGAGCAGAGACTTGGCCTGCTGTGTGCTGGGGTCCCAGCTGGCTGGAAACATGTCCCCCGCTGAGGCTGTTACACATTCAATGAAATGGGGGAGTGCAGAGCCCCCTCCTTCCAGAAGCAGGCAGACCCCAGAGGCAGTATCAGAACGACCCACACTGCTCACTGCGCACAGAGGGAAGCGACTATGTGCGCCCGCAGAAGGCCACACCCCCTGCGCCACGGGGCCGCCCCCACTTCCAACCCCCACATTCCTCCTGCTCTGTCTCCTAGAAAGAAGCTGGTGCTGAGACATCCTCCTTTTACGCGGCTCTACTGCGCATCCAGCCCAAGATCCTGCACTGCTGGAGGCCCATGCGGCGCATGTTCAAAGCCTACGACGAGGGCGGGACGGGGTTTCTGACTGCGGATGACTTCAGGAAGGTGAGCCCCTGGGGAGGGGGGCCTGCGCCCCACCCAGAGCCGCTGCCAGCGCAGCTTCTTTACTAGAGCTTCGCTTGCCAATGCTGCACCGGCTCCTGGACCTTGACCCCAGCCCTGTCCCGGCCTGCACCCCAGGCCTGCACCCCAGGCCGCACTACGAACCCAGCAGGGCAAGGTGGCTGTGATGCAGACACGGTGGCCCCTCCTACACCTGCACCAGACATCGGCCACCCTGGGTGGTGGAGACCTCTGAGTCGGAATGATTTTCGAGTCCCAACACAAAACCTGCTCCCTCTGAGATACAGTTTTTGCTTTTGCTTCCCAACCAGGTGAGGCGGGCAGGGCTGCCTTAGCCACTCCTGCCAGGGGACCAAATAGAGCAGGATAATTCAGGCCACTGGCTGTGTTACTGACATGTCATCCACACTCTGCACCTGCAGGGGGCTACACGGCTGGTGCCCGAAGGCTGCAAGGCCCAGGCAAGGGGCAGGCACAGCCCTGCCCAGCCTGGGAGCTGCAGGTCTTCCTCTGTCCCCAGGTGCTGAGGCAGTTCAGCATCAACCTCTCCGAGGAGGAGTTCTTCCACCTGCTCGAGTACTACGACAAGACGCTGTCCTCCAAGGTCTCCTACAACGACTTCCTCCGGGCCTTCCTGCAATAGGCACTGCTGCAGTGCACCCCAAAGACAGACCAGGCCGCGTCTGTCTCTGCAGCTAACAAGAGCATAGAACCGAGGGGTCTGGTGGATGTCCCGGTGCATCTGCAGATAGAACACCAGCTCAGCCTGTGAGTCTGGACGCCTCTTTCCACTGCCGCGGGCGGCCCTGCTGGGCCTCAGCAGCCTTATTAGCTTGAACAAATGAAATAGGCTTTGCAGGAATGATTCTTGACTTTTAAAAAGATCTAATAATAAAATAGTTAAGAACTTGGGATTTCCAGGCATTGTGTTCCCGGCTGCCCACTGGGCTGTGCTCTGTCAACTCCTTTACACACTTGTCCCTGTCCCAGAGCACAGGACAGACATCTGCGGCCCCTGGGGCCTTGGGGCTTCTGGGGTCCCCGCTCAGCACCATTGGCCAGCCTCAATCCTGGAAACCAGCTCACACCCACATTGGCCAAGCCAGCAGACTCTCTGGATTCAGCCCTCCCGAGGCCACCAGAAGGGACCTGTCCTCTGAAGGCCAGAGAGGCCTGAGCCCAACTGCTGCTGTTCTTACTCACCCAGCTCCCCAGGCAGTGATGGGCTGGGCTGTCCTCTGAGCTCACCTCATCTTCCTCCAAGACTGACCTACGCTGGACACCTGTTTTCTTTGCAATCCTGGAGGTTTCTTTCTAACCAAATGGTGTGGGACTCAGGACCCTGCCATGTGACATTTTAGTCACCACCTCTGCCACCATTGTAGGTGTTTCTCCCTGGAGGCCAGCAGGCCAGAGGCATAGGCCACCACCAGAGATTGGGTTCCTAGGTCCGGACAGCCAGCGGCTCTGTCCTCCCATTCCCTGGGACCTTGTCCTCTGCCACTCCCCGCTCCCACTCCCACAATCACAGCCACAGCCACTCATCATTGTAGGAGCCCAGAGGCCAACTGGACACAACATGCACGCTTGGGAAGCCAGGTGTTCCCTCCTGCAGGTGCCCTGGGTGCCAGGCCTGTCGGTCACCCCAGCCCACCCTGGGCCCTCAGCCACACCCCAGCAGGGGTGCCCCAACACCACCACTGCTGAGATGCAGAGCCTGAACCCCACAAGGCTTGTGACTCTGGGGAGGAGCGGAGACTCCCTGATTTATACCCTTTGACCTGACCCCCTCACCTGACCATCAGGGCTGACTAAGGGGCCTCTGGCCAAGCCAGATCTGGGAGGTCTTGGATCCTGCAGAACACGGGGTGCCCCAGGGAAGAGAGGGTACAGTGAGCCCTGATCAGAGGTGCACTGTACCCCGTAGCCACTCTGTGTGATGAAAAGGCCACTACCCCTCCTGTTCCTCATGCCCTCCTATTGTCGGGGACATCCTGTGTTGCCTGGGCCCCTGGGACATGGCGCTGGCAGTGAGTGGCTGCCCAGGCTGGGGCCTGAGGCCTGGAGTCCCTGCAGCTCTTCAGGCTAGATACCAGTGGGTGCTATGGCTCAGGGGCCCCCAAAGGCCAGGTGCTGAAGGCTCGGCCTCCAGCCCATGGCACTGCCAGGAGGTGATGAGGATTGAGGAAGGGTAAGAGCATGGGGCCACCACCAAGAGTCATGCTTGGAGGTCCTCCCATGACCTCGGGGCAGTGGTGTCACCCAGCAGTGAGCAACCTCAACCCTGACCTGTTCACGGGGACACTGGCCCAGAGTCCACCTGCAAGGCAAGCACGCTGACCTGCCCTTGCAGTCCCATCTGGTCTATGGGGAGGGCTCAACCTGGCTGGCACAGCCTGAGTCCCTTTCTCAGGAGGAGCAAACAGGCCCTGCTGGCAGCATCAGCCAGGAGGGGAGCAGCTGTGTTGTCAGGGGCTCCTCTGTGGGCCGACCCCTGAGTGCTGCTGACTCCTTGGAGCCAGGTGTGGCTGTAGGCTCAGACCCACTGCCTCCTGGCAAAGCGCATCCCAGATCTTGCCGTGTGTGCTGACAGGACACCTGCTGTGGCCTCTCCAGCCAGCTGAAATTGCCATCTCACCTACAGAAAAGCCAGGTGATGCTGGAGCTGCAGTGAGCTCTGGAGAGAACTTTGGTATCTGCCAACTGTTCTTGCAAGCCCAGAAATGGAGAATTTATTGCTAAGCTTACAGAGGATCACAGCGCATTCCCAACCTGAGGTGTTGCCTGGGGCCCTGGCACTCAAGGCCCAAACCCCATTCTGCTGCTCGGCTTCCACTTTCCTACTGACCCAACCTGCTGCACCAACTTTGCCTTCAAAGCTCAGCCTACAGTCACCTCTCCCAGGAATCCTGCTCCAACTTGCTGAGCCTGAGACCCTCAGCCCAGCCCCATTCGGCAGCCTTGGGAACCCATCATTTCTTAAGAGCTGAAGAAAGGGGAGAGGGAGAAAACAAGAATAATGGGCTCTGTGGAGCCCACAAATCCAGAAGTATTTCCTGTCTGACCAGCAAGTTTGCCGGCTCTTACTGTACAAAGCTCTTTCCAACACTTGGGAGGCTGAGGCAGGAGGATCACAAACTTAAGGCCGGCTTGGGATCCATACTGAGACTCTTTCAAAACAAACAGATACAGAACTTCCTAACTTTCAACAACAACAAAAAAATTGTCAAGCATTCATATCTAAGACAATTTTTGAAAAATAGTCTGTAGAGAAAAAAAACATAAGATATGATAGATTTTAGAACTATCAGAAAAGAATTTTAAAGTAACAATTTGATCTGTTAACTTTCTCGTAGAAAAGGAAGACAGCACATAGGATAAGACAAATTTTCAGCAGGAATGAAACTACAGTAGTCCCTCACTTTTTGCAGTTCAACTCTCTTGGACTCACTGTTTTGTGGGTTTCCAAAAAATATTAACCTAAATTATTTATCACCGATTTTTCACTACATTGAGGGATTTTGCAGTGCCCTACAATATATGTATGCTGCTAAAATTACATAGGCTTATGAGTTTAGAAAATGGTTAATGGACTAGGGAGATAGCTCAGTAGAATAAACACTTGCGTGGCAAGCGCAAGGGCCTGAGTTCAATCCTGAGTTCCACCAAAAAAAGAAAGAAAGAAAGAAAGAAAGAAAGACAGACAGAAAGAAAGAAAGAAAATGGTTAAGAACATTAGAAGTATTTTTAAAAGTGTAGGAAAGGTTTATAAGAGTGTAGGAAGGGCTTATAAAGCCTTAAAATATATATAAATACTAAAATAAATATGTCATTACTGCACTGAGTTTCCCTTGTTGCAGGTCTCTGGAATGTAACTTCTGCGATAAGTGAGGAACCACTGTGTAGGAGGACAGGTGGAAATGCTTGCAACTATTGCAGCAAAGATGCAAACTATCTCCCACAGGCTCATCAGGAATTTAACCCAACCCAGGCAAGAGCGCAGGAGCTTGAAGTCAAGTCAGCAGCAGGAATCTAGACTGAAATGCAAAGGCAAGGAAGAGCGCGGGGAAAGAGCAGTGCCAGAGCTGTGGGACAACACGAAATGGCTTCGCACACACCTGACTGGGCACAAGGGAGGGAAAGAAAAGGGCCAGGAAGAAGAGAGAGCTGGGTAAATAGTGGCTCTAAATATTCAAAAATTGGCTACAGACACTAGACCAAAAGAAAACAAGCATATAGGACCAGGCAGGTTCTAAACACACACACACACACACACACACACACACACACACACACACACACAGGCCTGCCATATTCAAATCCTTGCAAACAGGCAAAAAATTTAAAGCCATGTGGAGAAAAAAGAAAGACACATTGCCGACAGAGGAACAAGGACAAGAGCTACGTACAGCAGACTTCTCGTCAGAAACCATGCTAGCCAGCAGACAATGGGGAATACCACTGTGGTGCTCAGAGTGCTGGGAAAAACGGTCAAGCCAAGTTCTACAGCCAAAAGCAAAGAGAAATAGAGAATATTTTAGGCACAGAAAAATGAAAAGAACTCATTGCCAAGAGCTCTAACAGAAACGTTGAAAGGAGTTCTATAGGCAGAATATGATGAAGCCAGAAACTGGGATCTATTGAAGAAATGAACATCAAACATAAAATAATTGACAGTGAAATAAAATATCTTTATGCCCTAAATGCTAGCGGATGACCTTAAAGCAAAATGTGCAACAGTGCGCCAGGCTTAGACCACAATTAACATATGACAATAGTGATGGTCAGAATGGAGGGAAAGAATTCTGAGTATGCTATTAGAAGCTTCTTGTACTACATGGAAAGAGCATGATATTACTTGAAAAATACAAATTATTTTTAAATATTTTAAAACTATGGAGCAATCACTAAAAGCATATTTTATAAATACACTTGTAAAAAGTAAAAATATGTCAGTAGAGGAGATAAGATGGAGCCACAACCATAACATCAGCAAAAAAAAAAAAAAAAAAAAAAAAAAAAAAAAAGACGAAGGACCGCCAAAAATTGCCTTCTCCGAAAAAAACAACCAGGAAACTAGCAAAAATCATCAGATTCTGTGCTACGAGCGTGTGCGCAGGGCAGACCAAAGAACCCACAACAGCCTCTTCGAATCGGCTTGCCCCGTATCTGCCCCACTTTCCGGGCACAGAAGCACAATATCCGACACCTGAAAATAGAAGGAAGGGAGGTTGCTCTCGGCTTGTGGCTTTGGTCCATGGTGGCTCCGAGGCAGAATCAGCGTGCTGCCAGGGGTGGGTACCAGAAAGCTGCTCATTCATGGCAGCCACTCAGCCAGGGCAGGAAGTCATGGCCCCAGTGACTCTTCCGGCTGGGCCCCGCTCCTGGCAGACATTCAGCACCAGTGTATGCAGCTTCGCCATGATCCGGTCGTTACCCGGAAGCCCCATCCCTGGATACTTGCACCTTTGGGGCAGCAACCTAGATCTGACCCATGACGCCAGGTCAACGTACAGAAGTCAGCCATCTCTGACCTTATCGGATACAAAAGTGACATTTCTTGTTATATAGGTCTTGCTATATCTTGGTCTTAACCATCCAGCAGAAAAGTATAAAAACGAGGTATATAAAGTAAATCCATATTAATACGATGAGCTGTAAAAGGCTCAAGTCAATAACTTCTGAGGATAACCCACTAATATTATAGACTGCTAGACAGTGTTGGATTGTTTAGTTGAATTCAAACACCTATAGTATTTAGATGCCAATAGAATATTCACCTCTGAGAGGACAA